TATTTAAAAAAATATATAAAATATGTATGTATATATAAATAAGTAGATCTGATATATATCTGTTTCTCTCTCTAACTCCTTCCCTTCCTTATAGGATAACCACTGCTTGCGCATCAAAATATTGGGCGATTGCTATTACTGTGTCTCCGGCCTGCCGGAGCCTCGCAAGGATCATGCCAAATGCGCCGTGGAAATGGGACTCGATATGATCGATGCCATTGCGTGAGTATAGCTCTCACATGAATGTTGAGAGTGAATTGTTGATCTCGGATCCTGATCTCCCAAAATCAATTCCAATTTTATTCCACTTTCTTGGAGTCCAGTCTTTAATCAATTTCTTTGCTACTACACAGCACCGTCGTAGAGGCTACCGATGTCATCCTGAACATGCGCGTGGGCATCCACACGGGCCGTGTGCTCTGCGGCGTCCTGGGACTGCGCAAGTGGCAGTTCGATGTGTGGTCCAATGATGTCACGCTGGCCAATCACATGGAGTCCGGCGGCGAGCCGGGCCGGGTGCATGTGACGCGCGCCACCCTCGACTCGCTGTCGGGCGAGTACGAGGTGGAGGCGGGTCATGGCGATGAGCGCTCATCGTATCTGCGGGATCACGGCGTGGATACGTTCTTCATTGTGCCGCCGCCGCATCGACGCAAGGTGAGTCGAGTGAGCTTAGCCAGCCCAATTAGATGCAGTCGCTTTGTAGCGTTCGCTCTCATGTCCATCTCTCTCTTTCTCTCTATCTCTCTCTCTTTCACGCGCGCCGTGTGTGTATGTATTGGTGTCTATGCTGCAGCCCCTAATGCTAAACACGCTTGGTGTACGCTCGGCGATCGGTAGTCGGCGCAAGCTATCATTTAGAAACGTCTCGAACGTGGTCATGCAGCTGCTGCACACCATCAAGTTCTCGGAGCCGGTGCCGTTCTCCAACATTGCCACCGGTTCGTTCCCATCGGCGGCTGCCGCCCTGGGCGGCGGCGCGGCACGTGGCAGTAGCACCGATGCGACCGCTGCCAGTGTCCAGGTGTCGGAGAAGGGTTCGCGCAAGGTAAGTGCTCAATGCCCACTATTAATAGTCTCCCCCATCATTATTATACAGTATATATATATATAGTCTATAGTCCATAGTTGAAAGGCCGTAGTCCAGTGTTTCTAGAGTTTACAGACTCGCTGTAGTAGCTCCGTAGTCGTAGCTCAGTTCTGTGCATGTCCGTAAATACTTATTATATATATATANTTGTATTTAGGACTTTTTTATCTCGTAAATTTAATAGGCTAGTTCAAGAAGTGTGTTCGCTTCTTAGTGATTCATACTTGTTCTGTGTAGGGCTCGAATTATCCAAGTTGCCACGTTCTGCTCAACTGCTCGATTTTTGTTCCAATTTAAAAATGCTGAGCTGTAACCTAGGGTGAGCGAGCATAACGAGAGTAAATAAAGCGAAAGTGAGTGCAGGGTAAGCGCCTACAGGGTGAGCACAGGAAAAGCGAGGTTTAGAGAGAGTACAGTAAAAGCAAGCCCAGGGTGAACTAGAGAAATTTGAGTGAACACAGGGTGATCGAGGTCATGGTGAGTGAGCACAGTTGAAGTGAGGTAAAAGCAGGTACAAGTGAGTACAGGGTGAGCAAGACCGGAGGATTGAACACACCGTAAAGAGAGCGAGCATAGGAAGCGCTGTGGGAGTAAGTACAGTTGAAGCAGGCACAGGGTGAGCTAGTGAAAGTTGTGCGAATACAGGGCGACCAAGATCATACTGACCTAGCACAAGGCGAACGAGAACAGGGTGAACGAGCACAATAAAACCAAGCACAGGGAGAGCTCGTATAGAGTGAAGTAGCACAGAGAGAAGCGAGAACTAGGTGAAGGGAGGTGACAAGGAGAGCTCACACAGAGTAAACGAGCATAGGGAGAGCGGCAATCGCGCTCTGACGATTCCAAATTCAAAAGCTGTTCTTACTACTATAATTACTGAATATTCACTATATAATACAGTCAATGATTGACAAATTTCATTAACTTTAATTAAATTTGATTTCAGAACATCTTCAACTCGATTTTGTGTGTGCTCTTCGCCGTTGTGCTGGTGCTGCTGCAATGCTCGGTCATCAAGGATCACCACTTGCCCACGCTGTGCTATGGCATCCTGCTGTTCACGGCCAGCATTTGCATAGTCTCGATGCCGACGGTGGGTCGCGCCTTTCCGGTGGACACCAGGGAGGTGATGGCCGAGGGCGTCTGGCAGATCGTGTTTGTCGTCTTTCTGGCGTATGCCATGATGCCGCTGCAGATCTGGGAGGCGGTCGCCTTTGGCATTTCGCTGCCGTCGGTGCACATCAGCATCACGGTCTACATGATCTTTACGGGCGCGTTGCGAGGCCTGGAGTATACGCAGCTGATTGCCAACATTGTCATCTTTATTGGCGTGAACGTGGCTGGCCTCGTGGTCAACATCATGATGGAGCGCGCCCAGCGACGGGCGTTCCTCGACACGCGCAACTGCATCGCGGCACGTCTGGAGATTCAGGACGAAAATGAGAAACTGGAGCGACTGCTGCTCTCCGTGCTGCCCCAGCACGTGGCCATGCAGATGAAGAACGACATTCTGTCGCCAGTGGCGGGCCAATTCCATCGCATCTACATACAGAAGCACGAGAACGTGAGCATTCTCTTTGCGGACATAGTCGGCTTCACTGTGCTCTCCTCTCAGTGCAGCGCCCAGGAGCTGGTGCGGCTGCTCAACGAGCTCTTCGGTCGCTTCGATCAGCTGGCGCATGTGAGTTGAATAACAATTCCTCAAATCTAGCATCGATTTTTTTATTAGAATACAAAAAATGGAGAAAGAGAAAAGACTTTTAAAAAAGGTTTTTCTTAATTAAAAAAAAATTGGAAAAACTTCTCTCTTTCTTTCTCTCTTATAGAATAGAGGAGTTTATAAACAATTTGTTAAGACAAACAATTTTTTATTTTTCTTAAAAAAGTCACCTGTTATAGGAGTTTATAAACAATTTTTTAAGACAAAAATTTTTTAAATTGACAAAAAAAAAAA